GGATCAAAGACCAGTGAGGACTGCATAGATGCAGAACAACATTTTCTCTTGGTCATTGACGTAACTAGCTGAACATGGTAGCCGTAGAACACATGCAGGCGTGGCTCAAAGGTTTTGTCAGCATGAGTCTCAGAAGATCTACCTAACTCCTCAGTGATGAACCCGCACACAAGTGATGTGTGCAGGTCATCCCAAATAGGTGCCAATAAAACCTTCATAGCACAGTACTCCATTCTGTTCTCTGCACTTGCCACATTTTACATTAAAAATATTTAGCCGTTATGTTCACAGCGTACAATACACCACAGAAATATTTATCTTCTTTTTATTAGTACTATTTTTGTATCCTTCCACCTTCTATGCCTTGGAATCATGTCTGACAAAACAGGCCCCAAAGGCAGACATTACCGTCTGAAAATTCTAAATATGGATAAGCTATCTTAGGTTAACAGTGGTGTCAGGATTTTAAGCTCTGATCAGACCTCCCAAACATACCTCTTTCAATTTAATCCCATAGTTCCCTACATTCCTCACAGATTTGATGTCCCGCTCACTTTTTTGTTATGTTTCACGGGAGACAAACAGAGAAGCCAAATAAAAACAAAATACTCTTACTGGAAGATTGCAACATAACACAACATTATTTCTTAGAAATCAGAACAATAAAAGAACCCAGAAAAAGAGAGAGACAAAGCAGGCTGCTCTCTAAAACAGAGAAGCATAACTCAACTCACCTCACCTAACTCTAGGCCAGGGGTGGGCAAATTTTTTGGCCCGAGGGACACATCTGGGTGGGGAAATTGCATGCAGGGCCATGAATGTAGGGCTGGGGTAGGGGGTTGGGGTGCGGGAGGGAGTGCAGTGTGCAGGAAGGGGCTCAGGACAAGGAGTTGGGGTGGAGGAGGGGTGCAGGGTGTACAAGGGGGCTCAGGGCAGGGAGTTGGGGTGCAAGAGGGGGTGCAGAGTGCGGGAGGGGGCTCAGGAGGTTGGGTGCAGGGAGGGGTGCGGCAGGGGGCTCAGGGCAGGGGGTTGGGGTGCAGGAGGGGTGCAGGGTGCAGCAGGGGCCTCAGGGCAGAGGTTCAGTGTGCAGGAGGAGGATAAGGCTGGGGGTTGGGGTGCAGGAGGGGTGCAGCAGACGGCTCAGGGCAGGGGGTTGGAGTGTGGGGTGCAGGAGGGGTTCGGGGTGCAGGCTCCGGCCTGATGCCACTTACCTGGAATGGCTCCTGGGTAGCAGCGGCGCTGTGCTGCTAAGGCAGGCTCCCTGCCTGCCCTGGCCCCGTGCCACTCCCAGAAGCAGCTGGTACCACGTCCCTTCAGCCCCTGGGGTGGGGGGGCAGAGAACTCCGCGTGCTGCCTTCACCTCTGGGTTCCACACCCGAAGCTCCCATTGGCCGGGAACGGGGAACCGCTGCCAGTGGGAGCTTTGGGTGTGGAACCCAAAGGTGAAGGCAGTGTGCGGAGCCATCTGCTCTCCCCTCCCCCCCCATCCCGCAGAGGCCGCAGGGACTTGGTGCTGGCCGCTTCCGGGAGTGGCGCAGGGCCCACGGCGCCATGGGGGGTGGCAATCCCACAGGCCGGATCCAAAGCCCTGAGGGGCCATATCCGACCCTCGGACCATAGTTTGCCCATCCTTGCTCTAAGCTGTCAGTCTGCTGACTAACTGTGCTAGTCCCAGATTGCATGCTTCCATACAGAGCCCCCTAGCCTGCAAGCAGGACCAGGAAGCCTCTTACTCTTAAAGTAATAATGTTAAAATCTGTACATGTCTTCAATACACCACCCTTTTGTTTAAAATTATTTATGGCAGAAGTTACAGGGTTATTACACTAAATAGGTGAATCCCACAGCACTCTAACGTACGTGCATGAATAATTTTATGCCCCTTTTTGGTCTTTGTCACATAGCCACATTTGTGCCTTGGCAAGTTGAGAGGTATGGGTCTAATATCACACAGTCTATCAGAGTTAGAAACAAATTGATTTCCCCATTGCAAAAGGCAGTGTAACAATGGTGTCTATCAGGCCTACCCCAATTGTGAGCACAACGCTAGAAAGTGGGTGAAAGTTCACAAAATGTTACCATCACCTATAACAAGTGTGAACAGAAAAAGATATGAAAGGGAGACAGAGACTGGACTAGTTCAAACAAAAAGCTCTACTGATACAACCCCAGGGCTGTATTGAGATCATGTCTGGTAAATAAGAGAATGGAAATTAATGGACCAAAATTGGTGTGCTGGAAATCAGGACTAACTGGTGGACAAGTAACGAGGGTATGAGCTATTCTACCCATCGCCACCCTTTTAGGGTTCTTATGAAAGGGTCTCTCTGGGGATCAAATAAGGATTAGACTCCTGAGGGAATCCCTTGAGGAAAAGCCAACAGGCTTCTGCTTCATTCCGGAGACTGTCTTCAGGGCCGGCTCCAGGCACCAGCTGAACAAGCAGGTGCTTGGGGCGGCCAAGGGAGAGGGGCGGCACCTGAGGCAATTCGGGGGCGGCAGGTCCCTCACTCCCTCTAGGAGCAAAGGACCTGCCGCTGTACTGCCCCGCCGATCGCGGCTTTTTTTTTTTTTTTTTTT